TTCTTGTCAATTCACAAGCAAACGCAGTCAGAAAGTCTACTAGCAACCCCAATCCAATTTATGTAATGAATAGCATAAGTACCGTGCTAGGGACTAGACTCTTTAAGCAGGAGAATGTACTTTTTAATGAAATACCACATAAATATCTAAGCCTAAAGTTATCCAATCACACTCCACTTGTTAAAAAAACTATCCAATTATACTTTTTCAAAAACCTCATAAGCAATCAAAGCATTACAAATAAAAGAAAATGAATTCTAAAAAATTAGGTAATTTTAAAGTTTTAATTTTAAAGTTCTAAATAGTTTTTAAGTTTAAATTATAAAGTTTTAAATAATTTGTAAACCATATTTATAGTTAGTTTTTTCGTGTTATGTTTTTCAAAGTAACTGTTGTTGCTTCAAAACATCTTGGAAAAAACAGATTGGAATTGAGTTAATGTCTAGATTTTATACATACTATTTATAAGATTTAATAATTGTCTTAGATTGATTTAGATTAACATTTTTAGATTAGTATTTATTAGTATACTTGCCAGATTTATAAACAGATGTTATATATTCTTATATTTAAAATACTGCTGCAAGAAATAGAAACAAGCAGGTAATCTGTTTGTTATCCGCAAAAATACTTTAGCAATAAAGTGACATCTTGGAAATTTTAAACAAGTTCCTGGTTAAAATAACGTTTTTTAGGAACGTAAAGGTGTCATCTGATACTGGTATTCTGGAAGAATTGGAGTTGTTACAATTGGAATACCCCTCTAACATATTAAATTGTTTTGTGCCTCAACTGCTTTGATTTATAGTTTCTATGAACAATTAAAAGAATTTGCTTTTAATTCAAACCACAGCCTCAAGTAGTTTGGTCAACATTATTGCAGTATGCCTCATTTTTTTAACTTTATTGATGACGACTGTAACAGTAGAATCAAGTTTTTCAAAACTTAAATTAATAAAAGCATATTTAAGAAGCAGCATGTCTCAACACTGTCTTAGGTCTTTGGCCACTATATCAATTGAGAAAGCAATAGCTTGTCAAATTGATTTGGATAAAGTGATTGACCGATTTGCAAAGAAAAAGGAAAGAAAAAATGAATTTTAAACTATGTGCTATAAATTAAAAATATCTATAAATTTTGAATAAGTTATATTTCTACAAATATTTAATAAAATATTTACTTTAATGTCCAGATTACAAGAATTTAAACAGAAACACCAATAAGATGACTAGATGCATGGCTTTTTCCAAAGAAAGACGTGAAATGTTGAATGATATTTTGAATTAGAACCGCTAATCTTAATCTTTATTTCTACTGATTATTAGCATCAAGATTTTCCAACTATACCCATTTTGGAATATTTAAATTGAACATTAAAAAAAGTGTTTTTTTCTTTCCATATTGTATATAACCTCTCTGAATCATAGAAGTAATCATAGACTTTAATTGAAAAACAATTTTTTTTTTCTCAACTAACTGAAAATGGGTACAATCAAAAAATGCCTAAAGATATTAATAAGATAGAAAAAAACTAGACGAATAAGAGTTTTTGGAGCACTTAGGAACATTAACAGAAAAAGGATGATACTTAATTGAATGACGAGTAGCACGAGAATGAATTTTTGTAGATGGCACAAGAGACGCTAGCTCTTTCGAGCAGTGCCCATTATAGTATTTGTAGAAAAGAGAAAAAGAAGCAACATTACGACGATGTGACAGAGGTTGAAAGTAGGTCCAACTATGTTTACAATGCGTTTTTGCACCTTGTCTAAAAGAGAAAGGGCATCATTAGAAGATCCACCCCAGATATGGCAACAGTATTCCATACAAGGCCAGATTTGAGATTTATAGAGATAAAGAATAGAATCCAGAGTAAGAAAGTGACGAGCTCGATAAAGAGAAGCGACTTTAGCAGATGCTAATTTTGAAACAGATTTGATATAAGGTTTCCAAAAAAGATCAGAAGTAAGAGTTAATCCTAGAAGATGAAGGGTAGGAGACTCATTGAGTACATTACCGTTCATAAATATAGGAAGGTCTAAATTATTGCAATAACGATTGGCTAAAAAAAAATTGAGTTTTATCTGAATTAAAGTTCACCAGCCACTGTGAGCCCCATGCTGTAGCAGAAGTGAGATCCTTTTCAAGCTCAGATGCCCCCTGCAAGCAATCAGAGGGAGTTGTCTTCTTATCGTGACAAGAATAAATGGTAGTATCATCAGCGAACAATGCCACCTTAGATGTGAGAGAATCTGGAAGATCGTTAATGTAAATTAAAAAGAGTATAGGGCCAAGGATTTTACCTTGAGAAACCCCTGAAGTTACAGAATAAGAAGAAGAGTGCTGTCCATCGAGGACAACTTTTATACTACGATTGGAAAGGAATAATTCGATAATCTTAAAGATGTTTCCAGATACACCGTAAAAAGAAAGCTGGAGAAGACCAGCATGCCAAACTTTATCAAATGCCTTAGAAATGTCAAGAGCGATGGCCTTAACCTCTCCACCTTTATCTAATGCGTGATAAAACCTATCGGTTATTACTGTTAGCAAATCAGCCGTAGAACGAGAAGATCTTATCGAAATCCATATTGATGATCAGAAAGTAGGTTATGAGATTCGAGATGAGAGATTAAGTGTTTGTTAATTAAAGATTGAAAAACCTTGCTTATGATAGGAAGAAGACTAATAGGGCGGTAGTTAAACGAATCAGATCGCTCTCCAGAATTTTTAAAAATAGGAATAACAGATGCTGCTTTTCAGCAGGCTGGGAAACAAGACTCTGATAAGCACTTGTTAAACAGTTTTGAAAGGATAGGCGACAGTTCCGGAGAAAATAAAAAGAGTAGTCTATGTGCATTCAAACCTAGTTTCCTGACAAATGGGTGAATTCTTACGAATGTAAATGCCTAAGCCAAGCATGTGACTATTGGAGTCTTTACGAATTAAAGGAAGATAACCATCAACACTAAGATCACAAGATGAGACAGCTGAACTCAAATTAGTCTCACAAAGAGCAAGTAGGTCTGGTGAACTTTGCAAGAGATAAGACTCTACAGAAGAAAAGTTACTTCGAAGACCACGAATATTGGTGAATGATAGGTTTAGCGAACTTGGTGATGACTGTGGTTTTTTGTGTTTTATAGTTTTTGTTACTTTTTTTATTTTTAAATTTGTTAAAGAACTTGACTCGAATTATAGATAGTACTCAGTACACTGTTTTATAGCCCAAGTAATTGTCTCATTTCCACTAATAAACCCTAAGCTGTAACAAAGGGCTCTAATGTGGCCTTGGCAATGCACACCAAAAGTATAAAACAGGGACACCATCCATGCGCAACATGGCACTGTTATCTGATATTTAATCAGCTGTTGATGAAATCAGCCTCTCTGAGAGCTACCACAGAGTTCGGGAAACCTGACTACCAGCCGGCCTCAGAACCATAAAACTGAGTTTTAGAGCTGTGCCCTCATTTGGAGATAATAGAATGAGTTGCCTAGTCATAAAAACAGAGACACAAACAAAACCCATGCATCGAGTCAAGAAGAAGATCCAGCGTTCAACATCCTAAACTGGAAACAATGTATTAAAAATACATCTGCACCAGCCTAATAGATGAAGAAGGGGTGCGAGGCTGGTCAACAGATAGAATCTGTTTACCCTTTAAGTCTTTGCCTATGAGGCCTACTACAAGACAGCAGCCGGATGCATTTAACATCTGACCAAGATGAGTATTTTTATCGAGACACCATCTCTAGCCTTTACTCAACCAAGAGCCCCAAGGCAGGGGGTGTTTTATGTCGAAGTTTGCATCTCCTAGCCTTTGCCTAAAAAGGCATATCCTACAAGGCAGCAGGACATGAAGCAGATTGTACTGGGTTACATGTTGCCAGTAGCATGATAAACCTGACCTGACCTTAAATACAAACAAGGGTTCAACAACTTCAAAAATTTTTGGCTGAAGTTAAGTTAAACCAGTCTGCATTAGCTTTGAGTAAAGTAAATTGCAATGAGGACATTGAATGGGATAAAGCAGAAACACTTGAAGTTAAGGCTAAAAAATTTGAAAGAAAAATTGGAGAAGCCATAGAGATACAAAAACATCAATGTTCTCTAATGTACAGTGGTATGATTTTAGACAATGGACAATATGTTAGAACAATTTTTTGGACTTTATTTTTTTCATATTTAAGTAAAAGAAACCATTATAAAGACGATGTCAAAATTTAAAATTTTTTGTTGTTATTTAACTGTCACAATTTTTATAATTATATTATATGCTGATGATGCCAGTGCCTATAATCCAGCGAAAATTGAAATAAATTATTAAGTATTGAGAGAATTCGTATTATCTGATGTTTTAAAGTAGTTTATATATATATACTCTCTTACAATATGTCAACATTTAAATTATATATATATATATATATATATATATATATATATATATATATATATATATATATATATATATATATATATATACACACACACACACAACCCTCAGAATTAGGAAAAATGAGATTGACAACAATTTGCTGACCTCAATCTTTTAAAAGTTGGCAAAAATAATTTGATACAAAAGTCTTACCATAAAATATAGAAACGAGGTCATCAATCTTTTGCTAACCTCTGACACTTTTAGGTCGGCATTGCTGAATGCTGACCCTAATTCTGAGAGCTAATAATGTTGAATATTATATCATAGGAATAATGTTGAATAGTATTTAAAATAATAAAAACTAATTGCAAATATAATATAATTATAAGAAAATTATAAGCAAATTGAATAATTATAATAGAATTAATAGCTATTATTAAAGTATAATAATTGGTTATAAATTTTATTTTATAAAATTGGTTAATTAAACTGAATTTTTACTTTATCCATTATTTTTGGTAAAAATGATTTTCAGATACTTAAAATGTAAAATCTTTATTTTCATAAGAAAAGTTATTCATGATAAAAAAAAATACTTAATAGTTATTTTTTTTTAGAAATTAAAAAAAACCAAAATGACAGTCTCGGAAATCGCACTCAATCTGAAGTGTTTGGAAAACCTGAATCTCCCGTAGAAACACTAAAACGAACTTTTAGCACTCCTAGCTCACAAGATAATCACATACGTCATGGTAATTTTGTTCTTTATTTTGTGATCATTATTCTTTATTAGTGTCATTTATTGTCATCAACAAAAATGTTTTTGTGATTGAAATTAGTTTATTTATAAATTCTTTTGTGATTGATACCATTTGTTTATAAATTTTTGATTTAGCTAAAAATATTATTATCAAAGTTTTTGTTTAACAATTAGTTGAATTTATTTTTTGATCAAGGGATTAAGAAAAATTGGAGTGCCAAAATAACAAAAAAAATATATAAAAGGGTAATTAGTGCATAGATTTTATTTTTTAGAAGGAAGCTTATAAATAAAAATATACTACAAAAAGTTTACTTGTTCAAAAAAATTACTCTTGCAAAAAGATATTTATTATTCTTTCAAAGACATTACTCTTGCTAGAATGGTAGTAAATATATATATATATATATTTATATATTTTTTTAAGATATTCTAAAAATTAGTGCTCCATCAATTGATACTCTCAAAGAACACAAAGTATGTTTTCAAGATATTATTTTTCCTTAATATTTAATTTTTGATACTTTTAATTCCAATTATATATTTTTTGATATTTAATTTATTTATAAATTTATTTAGTTATACAAAAAATTGCAACAGAAATTTGATACTGATTTTTTATGTTTAATGCAAAAACAAGCAAAAGTAAGTTTTTAATTTTAAACTCCATTTTTTGTAAAATTTTATAAAAATAAATATTTAGTAATATTTTTTTTTAAACAAAAATAATCTTTGAAGCTTTTTACTTTATTTTACACAGCCAATAAAAAGCTGTTACATTTTTTTCATCATTGAAATGTCATTTATGTTGGGATAAGATTGATCGCCTCAATATTTTTTTGTAATTGTTTACTTGGTTTTTTATTTACCGCAACCCATTTTAGGCTGTTGTACGCAATTTTTAAATTTATTTTTTGAATTTAAATAAAAACAGCAAAACAAACATTTTATTTTAATTCTAAATAAAAAATAATAAAAATGGAAAAAAAAGCATTAAAAAAAAAGTTAAAAGAAAAAAAGAAAAAAAGCGTTTTATTTGCCTTCAAAGAAATTTATAAGAATAAGAACAGCAAAATAAAATTTTTACATAAATTCCAAATAAAATTAAAATGTTTTATTTAAATTTACAAATTAACTGCTATACTATTGTTTTATTTTACCTCTAAATAAAATAAAAACGACAAAACAAAAGTTTTTTTTTTAACTATCAATAAAACATATGAAATAAAAATGGAAAAAAGCAATTTAAACTCTAAATAAAATAATTAAAATAAAAACCGAAAAACAAAAAAATTTATTATTTAATGTATTATGCTTCAACAAAATTTGTTATACATAATATCTAATATGGTCTAAAACATAAAAACAACAGCATACTATTTTTTTCTTTTTTGTAATATTTCAATCTTGGTTGTTTTAGACTTGAGGTATAATTACAAAAACAATTATAAAAACGGTATTTATAAGTATATTTTATGCCTGATGATGGTCTAAATGAGTTAGAAAAAAAGTTGCAAATAGTTTTTTCCTTATGCTTGGGAAAAGCAATAAGACCAGACACATATATGAGTTAGAATAAAGGCTTGCCTTTGTTAATCACATTGTTAAAGGTTTTCTAAAAGTCTCTAAAACCTACCTTTGGAAATAAAGTTTTTTTATTCTAAGAAAAGTGGACCTTATTATTAGACAATTCCTCTTGCATTGATTTATTGCGATGATAAAACAGTTTTATGATTGCAATTTATAATTGCAATTTAAATTTTTGTCTTGTAAGATGTTGTCTCCAGACAACACTTTGCAAGGCAAAAACTAGCTTTTTTTCCTTTTTTTTTTTGTGCATATTTTATAGCAGCTAATGTTTAGTTTTCTAAAGCGATTCTAAAATAAAGGTGATCAATTCTATTTTTTGTTAAAATGTGTAGAGAAAAAGTAGTGTTGTTATCAACTTTGACTAAATGACTAAGTTATTCTTGTGGTAAAGATAAAATAAGTGATTATGGTAAGATATAACAGCTGCACAAAAAACATGTATAACAGATGCACAAAAAACATAAAACCATGGGGTAGAGTGAGGCTTGACTAGAAACTGATGAGGAGGAAAAAAAGTCCTATTCTTGCCTGAGTCCAGTTGCTTATAAATAAGGCATAACTTTTGGCAGAGAAATAAAAGATCATCCTAAGGACTATTATCAAGAAAATCACAAAAAGGATCCCACTTAGCTTTAGGTATATAAGTTATTATACTTTATAGTCTATTAGGTTTTTAATAATAACAGAAAACTAACAGGTTTCTATTGTTAAAAACAAAATGTACCATTAAAAAATGACACAAAATCATCACACTGTGAAATTAACAGTAGCACACAACCCTAACCCTGGCAAAAGTAAACAGATTTTTTTTTTTTTTACTATAGTAGCTACGTGTTTAAGTTAAAAAAAAAATTCAAAGTAAAGTTTATATATACTAATAATGTATTTAATGTAAAAAGTAAAGTCTAAGTATCACTTAGTTGCATAACTTAAATAACGGATCAAGAAAGTGCAAGACAAATCAAGGATCAAGAAAGTGCAAGACAGTATAAGACCAAGACCAAAACTCCAGCCTTCCAAGACCAACACTCCAAGCTTCAAGACCAAGACAGTTAAATATGAGTCTCAACACATCTCAATACCTATGTCTTTAGTTTGTGGTACTTGAGTTAAGCTATTCATCCGAGCCATTCAGTGTAATTAGCATTAAAGTCACTAATAACAACAAAATTGACTTAGGGATAATGAGAATGATAAAAGGTTTAGTCAGTTTAACAAATAGATTAATTGATTTGTAAGTTACTTTCCCAGACTGAGCAAATGAATACCGAAATTTTTCAATCAAGGATATCAAAGAATCAAAAATTAATATCCATTTACACTAAGATCTTAAAATGAAGCATTTGATATTTAAATTAGTTTTACAAAGAACAAGTATGTCTGGGTATTTTTGAATTTTTTAATGAAGAAAAGGTTACTTAAAAGATCACAAATATTAAAGTAAAGGTTAGATTTAAATAATTTGATGTTAATGATAGTTTTTCATTTGTTTAATATTTTTATATACTTTATTCATTTTTTAAATAAATTTTAAACTTGAAGCAATCATAGATAATGTATCAATCAGCAATCAGCTATGCAGCCCTATCCTGCTAATCAACCCAAAGTTGTAGCAAAGGTTTTTTACTATCTGACATACTTTTCAAACATCCTTGTTAAAATTGCCTCTTTTGTTAAGCCATGTGAGCAAATAATTTAATTTATTGCAATTAAATTATAAAAAACATGGAGTTGTTAAGAGAAAATAACTAAACAAAGTTACATAAAAATAATTCAATAGATTTTTTAACTTTCACTAAACAAATAATGGTTTATAAAATTGTTTTTATTCACTTTTTAACCTTTTTGTAGCGACATGAACTTATAACTTTTTTTTTTTAATGCTATGATTTTGTGTTTCTAAATTTTTGAAAAAAATGTTACATACAAATAGTTGAATACAAAACAGAGACTGAGTACATATAGCTATCAGAAATCATAGTTAGAAATCTTGTCTTCTTTATGTTGAGCTAGAAAAACACCTTGCTAGGCAAAAGCTTTTTTTCCTGTTTCTTTTGTGCATATTTTACAGCTAATGTTTAGTTTTCTAAAGCGATTCTAAAACAAAGGTGACTAATTTTATTTTTGTTAAAATATATTTAGAGATAAAAGTGTTGTTATCGACTTCAACTAGATTGACTAAAAGTCGATTAGTTTAAAGTCAAAATCAGTCAATTTAATGGTTTATGGACTTCCTACTAATCAATTAAAAGTCAATCTAGTCAAGTAAAAATCTTAAATTCTGTATATCATTTCATTCGATTTAACTTTTCAATCTTTAATTTTTGTTTGTTTATTTAATAAGTAGTATGCACCTAGTTTTTGGCTTATTTTTCTTAAAGTTTTATCTAATTCATAGCATGTTAGCATTATTTATGCTCTTCCGTGGTGTTAAATGCTCTTCCGTGGTGCTCTGTGATAAGACCGTATGGACTTCTAGGAGCACCTTAATGGCTGCAATAAAATATTTAAAAGATTATAACTAATTAAACTTTTGGCTATGTATTTAATTTTTTATTATTTTTTCTTTATTTATGAAAATTTGATTTTCATAAATACTTTCATACAGAGCCACTCCAAGCTGGCACTCCAAGCTGGCCACTCCAAGCTGGCTTAGGGCCCTGAGGCAAAATTAAGTTGTGAAGCTCCAATATGTAAATGTCATCTATACAATCACTTTGTAAGTATGGTTGTAAAGACTTTGATATATAGCAAGTATTTAAGGCAGTTCCTAAATCGTTGGGGTCTGGGAATAAATTGTGTCATTGTCAGAACGGCCCTTCTCTCATATTGTTTTGCTCCATTAATATTTAAATGATATGATGTTAAAAAAGAGGAAGCGAATATAAATTACTTTATTGATTTTATTACAGTTAATTTCAAAAAAATAAATTATTCTCATATTTAGACTAAATCGACTTTTAGATGATTTAGTTGATTTCAAAAATGTATTAGTCGATTTTAGTTGACTTGATTGACAGTGGAATTATTTAATAGTGATAACAACACTACAAAAAAGTAATAAATTTTACTGATTTCACTGGTAGAACAATCTTTGACTAGTCAATATTAAATTTAATTTTTTAGGACAGTAGTTTTTATATTTTTACTTTATTCTAACGTAATACTTATCGTTATAATACATTATAACGATTTGACCATAAAGATCAGTCCACCCAATATTCATATATTATAAAAAAAAACTATTTTTGCACTCTGTAGAGGGTGTAGAGGGTGTTAGGCAGGAATATATTTTTGACCCCGTTTTTTATTGGTTATTGTTCTACAAAATATTAGGAATATTTATTGAACATGTCCTATTACTTCTTTAAAAAAAAAAAGGTTGAATTTTGGGAATTTTAAACCCATTGGTAATTCCACAGTATACACGGTGACATGGCTATCACCCTCATATAGTATATGCATTTATTAGCAACATACATGAACATAAAAGAGTAAAGAAGTCACAGTATAAACATGTTTTGGTACTTTTTATATGTTCCTCAATATTTTAGAGCAGCCTCTATTCTTTGTGACACTGGTGCAACAAGAGACATGATTATTAAGGCGTTAATTTAAGATATTTTTATTGTTTTCTCAGATCATAAATATCTCAGATCAGAGGCTGAGTTCTCTTTAGAAACTTCTACTTTGAATTTTACCAAACAGTTTTTATAGGGTTTAAATGGTGTGATTTTTGCATCATGACTCAGCGGCAGCAAAAACAGTTGTTGTAATTCCTTGGAACCATATTTTCATAATTGATTTCACAATAATCACAGTTATTAAAGTTAAATTAAATTAATTTTTTTTCATAATTATTTAATAATTTCACAAATTATTTGGAAATTTTGAAGAACGCTGTTTCTAATTGGTCTTGAATTAGAAAGTTTGATATTTTCATGCACCACGTGTTGTGCATGAAAGTGCAAAAATATAAAGCTTTTCAAATCAAAACTAATTAGACACATTGTTTTCCAAAATTTCTTAGTGATTAGCAGAATTATGAAACTATTACTTATTAAATAATAATTATGATGAATTTTGTGTCATGGCATAGCATAACTTATTCCCTAGGATGTGATGCATTATTGCCAAGGATGTGTTGCATTATCTATGAATACCTCAAAATCAAAATTAATTTAAAAAATTAATAAAGTACCTAAAAATATTAAACAAATAAAAAACCATCATTAACATTAAATTATTTAGATCTAACCTTTACTTAAATATTCTTTTAAGTAAATTTTTATTCGTTAAAAATTCAAAATTACTTGTTCTTTGTAAGACTAATTTAAATACATAATAAATACTAAAATAAAAAGTACTAAAATAAATAAAATTAATCTCAAAACTTAAAAAAAATCATGTTAAGTTTAATTTTTTTTGATAGTTATTTTAAAATTGTTAGTTATTATTAAATTGAATTAGATATAAGCAAAATAATCCCTACCCACCTTTTTATTATGACCCCCTGTTTATTAGATCTGGACTAAAATTTTAATCCCCTTTCTTTTATTTCCACCTACATCATTTTATTATCACCAACCAAACTCCCTCCTTTTATTCCTACCTACCTACCCTCTCCTTTTATTCGCACCCTGATTCATCCACTCACCCCCTTTCTTTTATTCCCACCCACCCAACTCTTCCTTTTATTTCCACCCACCCTTTTCTATTATTCACACTTATCTACCCTTTTTTTTATTACCACCCACCCCTTCCTTTTATTCCCACCCAGCCTTTCCTTTTATTTCCACCCACCCCTTTTATACACACCCACCACTTCCTGTTATTCCCACTTACCCACCCCTTACTTTTATTCACACTCACCTTTTATCAATGCACCCACCCACCTTCTTTTATTTTCACCCACCCCCTCTTTTTATTACCACTCACCCCTGTATTAAGCACACAAGAGTAAATATATGTATATTATTTATATGTTTAGGAAAGAATTCTTTACAGAAAAGAGCTTGAAGTTGAAACAAAGAAGTTAACCTTGAATGTTGAGCGACAAAA